AAGAATTTATACAAGTGTGGATACTCTTGAAATTACTGATAACGAAGATATATATGAAGCGATTACAACAGAATATTTTAATTCTTTAAATCCAACGTGTCTTCCACCACATATATTACGCTTAAGAAAATACACTGTTATTATGCTTATTAGAAATCTTAATATTAGTGAAGGTTTATGCAATGGTATTAGATTGCTAGTTTTAGATTTAGAAAATAACTTATTACGATGCGAAATTTTGTCAGGTAATAAGATTGGAGAAATTATTTTTCTTATAATCGAATTACTTTATATTGTGAAAATATACATCCATTCACTTTCAAAAGAAGACAATTTCCAGTGAAATTAGCATTTGCTATGACTATAAATAAATCACAAGGACAAACTTTCGAAAAAGTTGCAATAGATCTTCGAAAAAATATTTTTAATCATGGACAATTGTATGTTGCATTATCAAGAGTTCTTGGGATTCATTAAAGGTTTATTTAGAAGATAATAATCTGAATCGTGTAAAAAATTACGTTTATAAAGAAGTATTTGAATGATAATGCACGAATAAATACAAATAATGAAGTCAACTTATGAAAATTTATTAAAGTAATGAGATCTTGAAAGAGTTATAAGATGCTTTAATTGAATCGAATAATATCTACCTAATTAATTTTATTTTTTATAAATTCTATTTATGGAAATATTAAAATAAATTAACAAAAGGAACACAACTATGTGTCCCCCTCCGATTTTGACGAGCTTTTAGTATGTTGTTCTATAAATAAAAATAAGAGACGCGTGTACTTTTTTATATATATATTCGACTAAGTTGCACGTTAAAGTGATGAAAACATTCTTTGAAAAAAATCAGTATTTTTCTTTCGAAATGAATATCTTCGAAATCATAAGGCATAGAAACAATTTTCTAGAATAAAAATTGAATGGTTTTAAGAGTAATTTAGAATTGCAATAAAAATTATTTTTTATAAATAAATAATAAAAAAAATTGTTATTATAGTTATAAAGTATTCTTGTATGTATGTGTCGATCCATTCAATTTTTATTATCACTTATTAATAACAAATCATATTCATTAATTAGCCATTCAATTTTTTTTATCACTTAATTATTATTTTTCTTATTACTTATTTATTTGATATGAGTATAATGAAGTCTAAATGATAAATAAATTAAAAATAATAAAAAAATAAATATTATCTTCCTAAATTATTTTTAAAATAATTATTAATCTCTCTCATAAAAAGGAATTTCTTTAAGACTTACTCCACTACTATTCTCAAACATTATCTTGTAAATTAGAATTAACTTTATCTGTAATTAACATTTTAATCTTTGCAAATTGTTAACAATTTAAATGCCATTGTAGCTTCTTAAAAGACGATAGCATTAAAATCGTCATTCTTTGATGTAAACTCTACACATAATAAACAAATAACAGTAATCATAACAATAATTAAGTGGACTTTATTTACATATTTGCAGTTCTTAGATCTCAGAAATCTCAATTTTATTATATGTATAGATAATTAAAACATTAAATAAAACAATATTTTACAATAAAAAAAACATTGTTTTATTTATCTTCAAGAGTTATAAATGAATCATCAATGGTGATCTCATCATGAGACACTGTAGTGTCTCGGCATTAATACAAGTGCAACGACGATGCGCGAGACCGGCCGTGTTCTTTTACGTAAGACGGCGATTTAATTTGCTGTGTTTTGACAGTTGATTAAAGATAAAACAAATAATCAGACTTTTGTGAATGATATATTCTGAAGTCCGCTGATAAAAAGGTCGCAAATAAGAGTCTTTTCAAGATCTTTCCTAGCGTCCTCCTCCTTATCGAGGAAAACAAAATATAAATATTCGAAAAACATGTAAGACATACCATTAGAAGGATTAGGCCTAATGGAGAAACCACTATAAAAAAAAAACGCATCACGCTATCTACCGCAAGGTGATGTGGAAAGGATAGCATTTTGTCATTGTCTTACTGTAAAAAAATATAAAATTATTTTTCAATATATAAGTAAATCTACACAATATGTTAAAATCTATTAGATACAACTTCGTTTACTTTAAAGCCAATAAAAAGTTAAATTTTTGTCGACCAACGTTATTTTTATTATATGAATATATATACCTATATATGTATATACATACCCACAGTTAATCATTTGATTCCAAAATCAACGCTTACATCTACAAATGTACATTCATATTGAAACTTAATTTGAAGAATGTGATCTGAGGTCAAATTAAAGGTAACATTAGACTAGATCTAACAATAACAATAAACGGGTGGCACCCAGTTGGACACGGCTCAATTGGACACGAGCCACACAGCGCTTGAGACTACAAAGCTCCTAAGCACCGGTCGCTGTGATTGGTGGTGTCCAATCGAGACGTGGTCAATCGGGATCACCCCACAATAAACTATACCATATATCAGTAAAGTTAACGTTAAAGTTATTAAAATTAACATTCATAAAATCATAAGAGATATATGTTTTTACTACATGATTATGACACAGATTTCTATATATATGTATAACATACTTCTAAATTTACTATTTTTTTATACTTTAAATAAAAATAATATAATTATTAATAAACTTTTATTTCTAAAAATGGAAAAAAAATAATAAAACTATAATATCTGAAGTAAAATCTTTTTAGAAATATTTATGGTTTAAAATCTTATAGTATGAATTGTTCAATTGTTCAAAAAAATTTTGTTTCATCAGGTTCAAATGACCCGTCGCTAAATTAGTCCAAAATTAACGATTTTTAAGATTCTATATATATATTATTTTGCTCATTCAATGGAGAATTAAAAATAAAAAAATAAGCGTTAAAAATTTAGTTAGAATTAATTGTATAGTGCATAACAATTATATCGGTATGATATTAATTACAATTTTTTTTTAATAATATACAAAGGAAGAACAAAATAAATGGTGATCGAAGTATAATATTAATATTAAAAGTATTATGAAATTTTCGAAGTTCGTAAAGGCGCGCGCATCAGCGCGCGCTATGAGCTAGTATGTATAAGTATGGAGAAATAGCTGATGAATATTCGGATAATATGTAAATACGTTAGGCCCTGCGCACAATGGAGGAAATATTAGGAACAGGAATAGATATTAAGATTATAACCTATCAGATACGAGTTACACCGGAATATACGGTTTCTGATAGGTTGAAATCTTAATATCTATTCCTGTTCCTAATACTTCCTCCATTGTGCAGGGCCTTACAGCTACAGAGCCCCACAGCGAGAGAGTGGCAAACTGCATCACGTAACCCGGTCTCCTCTGATTGGACCTGGAGTGCGTTCCGTTTCTCGCATGATGCGCATAATCCGTTCGTTTATCCTTGTTGCTCACCAAATGTTAAACAAGGACAATGGATGCATCATGTGCGATACGGAACGCACCTCTGGTAATCGAGCTCCGTATAGCCATAACGGAGATATGCCGTTTAGGTTAAGGAAATTGCAGACAAATCTAATATCCAAACTAGATTTGTCTTTACTAATGAGACGAGTGCTGGATCTCAAGGCATCTCAATTTTTCCGTATTTAAATGATACTCTTAGATATTGCATTACTAGATAACAGACAATATTTAAAGTTGGTCATTTGTTGGTTTGAGAATGCAATTCAGAACTGTTGCGACTGCGTTTTTAAAGCCACTTTGTAAGATAACCGTTTGATGACCACCATGCGCTGTAACGTATCTACATATTATATTCATCGAATATTCATCAGCTATTTCTTCACATTTATATATTGCTCACAACCATCCACAACGAAGTTATACATACGCGATGATGAATTTATATTTTATTACATTTACCGTCCAAATCATCATGTGAATTGGCAAGTTATTGTTTTTCAAATGAGTCATTGATTTCAAATTGTATTTAATTTCGACATTGAGAATGACCGAAACGATCGAAAACGTGGTCGAAACGTTCATTTTAATAAACATGTTTTTGTAGTTAATCCAGCATTAAGATCTAGCTAGGCTCATAGCCCTTATTTTATTTTTAACAATATGTAATATTATATATATTACATATTAATGTAATATTATATATATTACATATTAAACAATTTCATTGTATATGCGATACTCCTGTTGGGAAATAGAATGAGCCAACACGTGTGCATTCACTTAGGTTAGGATGTCCGGCATTTTTGATAAATTTGAAATTACCTTAAATATCGCGAAACCGGCCGAGGTCTCGAACAGCACCAACATTATTGCAGCGTTTTTTTTACAATTTAATGATCGTAATAATCAATTTCATACAATTTTCATGCCAACAAATAAATGTAGCGTTCACACCACACAAATCCACGCCGAACGCCGAAACCACAGTATAGTCACAGTCAGTCACAGTATAGGTAGGAACAGTAGGTCCACTTCGACAAAAATGATGCTAATGATCGTCCCTTGCGCATCACCGAATCGCACAACCAACAATATGGCACAGACTTTTGCATAAAGGCTCGTCTACAATACACGGAGTAAGAAGTAAGAGTAAAGTCCGAATCTACAATAAAGGCCCGTCTACAATACACGGAGTAAGAAGTAAGAGTAAAAAATTGACCAATCACAGTCGAATGTGAGAAGAATAATCGACTGTGATT